ACACGCCTTACTGCACATTCACATACACTACTGCACACTCACACACACTACTGCATACACAAACACACACACTGCTGCGTGCACACACACATGCACACGTATGCTCACACACACACACCAAGGAAGGGGCACGCGTGGAAGGACAATGTTTGTTCCTCCTCCTCTTTCCTCCTACTTGCTGGCTGGAGGTAGAGGACACATGGGTAACAGCCAAGCAGCCAGACACAAGGAACCTCTGTCCCTGGCGATGAGGCTGCGGGCTCCCCGCGTCCACGGGATGAGGTTGCGGGCTCCCTGCGGCCCCGCAGCCTAACCATCAGGCCTGAGCTCTCAGCCTCCTGTGTCAGTGCGCCTTGCTGTGTACCCAGGAAATGCTTGGTCAGGAAGATCAGACTGTCAACCAATAAATAACTTCACTGTTTGCTGCAGGAAATCGTGAAAAATAATGTCTGGCTCATCTTGACAAACAACCCCCTCTCAGGGTGACACATTGCTCCCTTGGGCAAACAGCCCGTTTATCAAACAGCTGTTTCTACTCATCAAGACTCAAATATTCAAGGCTGCGTGCACCAGGCCCACACTGCTGCATCACCAACGCGGCTGCCTGAGACCCCAGCCTTGCGAGACCCCACACCCCGAAAGGTCCACCTGGACCTCCCCCCGCTGACCCGCCAGAGTGTGTGCGGGCGGGCGGGTGGGCAAGGCGGTGCTCTGCCGCCTGCAGCGGTTAATCCCCTGAGCTTGGGGTCATTGGCAGGTGTTTCTGCTGGTCTCTTGGGGGAGTTGACATTGATCGTGGAGGCACCACCCCAGCCCTGGACTTCATCCCTGCGAGAGGGACATACATCTCCGTCTTGTCAGGACACTTGTACTTTGGGCCAAAGGTGACCCAGTCCACTGTCCATTCCCCTCCATGCCGTACTACCCGGTGTGAGGCCCCCGCAGTATGGTGCGCAGGAGTTTCTTGTGGATTTTGGACACCTGCCCGATAAAACTGTTTTAGAAACAATCAGACACACCATCACCTATACCTCTAAACAAGTGTTTCTTTCAAATTATCCACCTAGCGCCGCTGTTCATGTATCTCAATGATACGGCTACTGCTTGAGACACTTTCAAACCCTCTTTTTGTAATTACATCTTGATTTTCTGTCCTCAGTGGTGACAAACCATCTTTTTTTGTGTGAAAAACGTTTTATTATGGATAATTTCAAACATATACAAAAGTGGGCAGAATGATATAACGCAAAACGACCAACTTAGGACAAATCTTAGTTCATCTAGGCCCTTACTCCGTCCCTTTTCCATTTGGATTACTTTGAAGCTAACCCTAGAGATCACATGTTTTCACTCAGAAATATTTCAGTTCATCCAAAAGGTAAGGCTTCTTGAAAAAATATTAGCCCACCTAAAATATTAGTAGTAATTTCTTAATAGTATATGATCAAATAGCATTTAAAATTTCCTAATGCATAATTTTTGTACTATTTTATTTGTTAAAATCAAGGTAGAAATAAAGTTCACATATTGGTTGATGTCTCAGGTGTGTTTTTCTTTAACATTTTTAAAAAAATATATTTTATTGATTTTTTACAGCGAGGAAGGGAGAGGGATAGAGAGTTAGAAACATCGATGAGAGAGAAACATCGATCAGCTGCCTCCTGCACACCCGCCACTGGGGACGTGCCCACAACCAAGGTACATGCCCTTGACCGGAATCGAACCTGGGACCCTTCAGTCCGCAGGCCGACGCTCCACTGAGCCAAACCGGTCAGGGCCTGACAGCATCTTTTGAAGGTGGATGTGATGTTGCCAACAGGCCAAAGCCAGGCCAAGCTGGCTGGTGAGCAGTGTGAGTGATCAAGCTGGAAAATGGTGGTTTGAGTTGAAAAGGTGTGATCAAGCCATGACTGACTTTCTTGTGAGGTTGGTGAACTGTCCCCGAAGGAAATTCCAAAACAGTCCCCAAAACATCCTGTGCAGTAGCAGCAGCAAATGTACAGCCACCCAGGGTGACTAACGAGAACGGAACAACAGTGACATTGATGGAGAAATTGCACGTTGGTTATAGAACCAGCTTTGCTGTGGGGGCGGGCATCTGCGGTCCCTCTCTAGTCATTAGCTCCTCTCCAGCCCCCACATGTCACACCATGTATCACACTTGTGCTGTGAAGTGGGAGCCGGGACCGCGCCTCTCCTGCTGAAATGCAGCCCTCAGCTCCCCGCAGGGCAGACCCTGGCTCTCGCCTCAGTCGCACCCCACAGCCTGGACGTGCTGACGGGTTGCTGCTGGGTCCCACCCAGCCCCTCCCCAGCCCTGGCGTTTGCTTCATCGGCGAGAATGTGGGCAGGGCACTGCAGGGGAAGCCTGCCGCTGCTGAGCCGTCCACAAAAAATGAGGAAGCTCGAGGGGACCGGCAGCTCCGGCCGTCCGTCTGGGGGCAGGGTCTCGGAGCAGAAGGGCGAGCCCGTCTTTTTGGAAACCGTGCAGACTTCCCTATTCCGATTCAGCGGAACTGCTCTCGGCAAGAGCCCGCCACCCGCTTGGCGTTTCGCCCCGCCCCTCACCCTGGCCCCGCCCCCATGACGTAACTGGGCGGAGTCAGCGTCCTTCGGCGAGACCAGCCGAACTGCGGAGCCGACCCCGCTCGGAGCTCCTCCCACGCCCGCGGGCCCGGAGTTGGCGCCTGCGCACTCGGCCCGGCCGCGCTAGTCCCCACCCCCCCTCCCTAGCAACCGCGGCTACGCCCGCCTCCC